TTCTTAATTGTTGTGTGGTCATTTTACCTATTTATGTCAAGACAATACATTAAGAAACTTTCAAGAAGTTGCTGACTGTTTAAGAAGCAAATACAAATTTCTTTGCATGTGATAACTTCTAAGTCTCAAAGCTAGGGTGGCATTGCTTCTCAAAGCTCGGATTTAGGACCAGCAGCTTAGGAATCATTACAGAAGTGGTCAGGTATGCAAATTTTCAGTTTACCTTAGCCTTAAACCTGTAGAATTGGAAACTCTGGGAGAGGTGCACAATCAGCTACATTTTTACGAGGTCCCCCTGGTGATTCTGACATACTAAAATCGCAAGGCTATCTTTGGAGAGATTAAGATGAAAATGGAGAGAACACTATATTTTCCCTGGCTTAATGTTTTCTTTTCAAAAGACTTTCTTCTACTACCATTAGCACATCTAGAAATCTTCTGGGGAACTTGGATGGGATATATATATATTAATATTCAAATATAATGAATATATATTCATATTCAAATCTTAGGACAGATTTAAATAAAAATAAGGCTGTATTTGCATAAAGCTCTACCTGGAAATTTGTTAAGATACTTTGCTTTAGCTAGAACAAGTTGAAGCCTGGAAATGATTTTACATACACATTGGAGCTATGAAGGCAAACAGCTGAATTTCTGGTCCTTAAAAACATTCTACTTAGTGGTGGATGCTCTAAGTCACAACAGCAACCACTTACGACTGTACATCTGATTAACAGAGAGGCAGTGATCAAATGCAAACCCTGAAACTAAACTGCATGGGACAGATTTAGAAAACTCCATTTCTTCCCATAACTTAGTTATCCCTGCAGGAGCTGGCATTCTCATAGCAGGTAAAGTCACCACCTGTAATGCCTTCATCCCATACAGGAGCTGACTCACGTCCCAGATACTCTAGTTCCAATCTAGTTCCTGTCGACAGTGGAAGACTGCCCAAGTGTTTAGGCTTCTGTTTAACAAGTGGAACACCTGATGAAGCTCTTGGATCTTGTAGCCATCCAGAGAGTAAAGATCACCGTGCTTTACTTGAAGCTTCCTTCTTAGGCCCAGTTAAATCTTCAAACTTTCCAGTCTTCATTACACTGGACTCAAATAAAATCAAGGCAAAAGAATAGATTTTATTTCCATGAAGTTGTTTGTATCTTTGTGAACCTGAGAATTGGGTAGCAGCCATTGTCCTGAAGCCTTGGATCCATGCAAGAACCATCTGGCTCTGCTTGGGCTAGGTTCCTGTGGTAAAGAATGATAACAAACGCAAAAGTTCCTAAAGGCAGAATGGCAACCAGATTTAGAGGGAAGAAAACGTACACAACTCCAAGCATCACAGAAAATTTGGTCATTGAAAAAACAAGACTGAAATTACCTTTTAAAATATCCTAACCCTGAGTGTTGATAGCAAAGATTTCCTAGGACTTCCTGGGTACAAACATCATATCTAAATGCTTAAATATATTATCTCCATGTAGTTCTAAAACAGCCAGGTAAGGTAGGCAACAAACAGATGTTTGCAGGTGAAAAAACTGCAAACAGAGAAGTGAATCTGCCTACTTACTATTTTGCCCATTGTGAAGCCAGTACAGTATTCTGTCATTCTGTTCTGCTGCTGCCCCAGACTAAGTAATACATGAAGATAAAATGCAAGTTCTCTTGAATGTCTTATTCAATGCTGAAGTAAAAGGATTGCAACCTGTGGTTACTAACAAAATACTGTGGCCTCATTTCCCTGCTTTAAGTCCTTTAATGTTTGGTTTTGGGGTAAAGTCACATTTCTCCATATGGTTTATAAGGACCATAACCTATCTCCAGCGTACCTTCCCAGCATACCTACCCCCCGCCCCATGACCTTTCACATACTTTACGCACTGGCCTCGTCTACCTTCTACGATGCACTCTCCAACTCCACATTAACTAAACTCTTACAAGACCAAGGCTGTTAAAATAATTCCTTCAGCTCCCTGAGCTGAAATGAATGCCTCCACAATCTTTTAATATTTTGTACATACATTTATATTGCTATTTATTTTTTTTATATTTTGTGGTAACTAACTCCATGGTAGTAACTGTGTCCTTTTATATAAGCACCAGTAAGCCCTGGTATAGTTCATGGCATCTTACAGGTACCAAGTAAACATCGATGCAGGTGAAAAACAGACTTTTAGAAGGACACACACATTTGAGAATTGTTTTACCATCTCCTTGGCTAAGATACATAGCCAATCAATGAAATGCAAGAAACTGGGAGAAATATTTATGGTTTTGAAGCAACATCTGTTAAATCCAACTGGAGTACTATCTTAGGCAACTAAGCTATATCAACTGCGGTTATAAATTTCCTGTGGTTGATGAGATAACACTGCCAAAGGAGAGGAGCAGGTGGTTAATGAAAGACTCAAAATGTCTTGGGATACAGAGAGACCAATTGCAGTAGCAGTGATATTTCAGTGGGTACAGAAAATACACTGTCACCATTCAAATATACTGACTGAGAGAATGGCACTTATTCAATGTGCTAGCCACAAGCACGATTTCAGACTGTACATAGAATCAGTGACCATCCTAATGACAAATGCTTACTTTGCAATCAGTTATAATTTTAAGAATAAAAACAAATGCATGGAAGGCAATTCTGGAGGTAACTGTAATGAAAATAATACCTACTGACTGAACAGTGACTGTGCCAGCATGATATTCATTCAACAAGTTATAACAGCTCTTGATAGATTAGTATGCATACATGAAAGAAAACAGAATTGAATCTCAGATGAGTTTAACACTTGCCCAAATTCAGATGAGTTTAACAACTTGCCCAAGCCCAAATATGGGAGAATTGGGCTTTGAAATGTCATCTGGGGGTTGGAGTTGTGGCACATTAGGTTAAGCTGCTGCCTACAATACTGGCATTCCATTAGGGGCACTGGTTTGAGCCCCAGCTACTCCACTTCCAAACCAGCTGCCTGCTAATATGCCTGTGAAAGCAGAAGATGGCCCAAGTTCTTGACCCCTGTAATGAAGTGGGAGACCTGGATGAAGCTCCTCGCTCTTCCTCAGCTGCCGCATCCATTTGGGAGGGTGAACAATCAGAAAGAAGATCTGTCTCCTCCTTGTTCTCTCTGTACATCTTTACCTTTAAAATGAGCAAAATCTTTTTTTTTTTTCCTAAAGAGGTCTGATTTTCAAAGGGTGAGCTCTTTCTGTCAGCTCAATCTGGCTTTAACTAATCTCTGGCTAGGTTTCACATTCCAAGTCACAGAATTCCACCTATCCCCTCTTGCTTTGAGTGAGTAAAAAGGAACTCAGTTAGTAAAATTATATTCATAATCACATGGTGAAAGAGCACACCCAAATTCTTCCATATTTAAGACAGTATCAAGTTCACCATCTATATTCATATAAACAATTCTGAATGAGTAGATATTTTGGTATATAAATTTGAGAAAACTTAGCACGGGGAGATGTATTTTTCACAGTGATATACATGGTCTTACTTTGGGTATAGGCACATTTCTCAAGGATTTAGTACTTTAAAAATAGAATCCTGAAAGTTAAAGAAATACTTAACATGCATGACAACAGCCATAGTTCTAAGGCCTAGCGGTTGTAGCAAAAAGCTACAAAGGGAAAAATGAGCTAGAGAAAATCAGCAACTGAAAATAAGACCTAACATTCCAAGCACTCAGTGGCTTCCAAAGCTCCTGCCAATGTGTCTGCACAGCCAGTGTCTGGAATTGGACACACTCCTGAGCATGCCCACCATACATATTCATCTCTGGCTTGGCATTTCCACTCTGCAAAGGAGGTAGCCAAGATCTGCTTAGCTGGGCAAATCATGCAAAGCAGGTTTTTCCACAGGGCTTTGTCTCTTCTCTAGGAAAGAACCCACAGTGATGCCGGAGGCTTTATCCCGCTCTTGAAATAAATCCCCTTTAAAAAGTGCAGCTGAAGCAAACTTGTAAGGAGAGCGATGCAAATGTTGGAAGAGGAAATCAGTTGCTTGGGAAATAATGAGCACACACCTAAGTATGCTGTTGAACGCTGTTTACAAAATACATCATTACCAACTCTAAGGACGAAGGTAATGATGATTTTTATTTTGAATGGGAATTATAAACACATGGCCTGATTTGACTTGACCATGAGCTCTACACTTAGGTCTTCTTATTATGACTCTGGAATCCAAATTCTACAAACATTTCTAAGAAGATAATTTAAAAGAAGGTGGGTATAGAATAAAAATATGCATGTATATGTGCATAAAAATCTTTTATTCTAACTCAGCAATCCTACTTATAGGCATATTTTCTAAGGAGGTGATATAAAAAGGGTGTGGGAAACGTCATTCCAATTGGCTTTATCAAGGCAGCTGAAGGTGGGACTGAAAATTCTAAATCTATAGCAGGCTTTCTTTGTTTATAATTCTGTATGGGATATGAATGACATTATAAATATCCAAATGCCCTTGGAAGAATAAAATATTTTTCAGTTCTGATTTAAAGGAAGTAAAAAAAGTTCAAAAAAGACAGAAATCCACAAAGACACCTATGATAGTTCTACAATAATGACACTAAAGCAACAGAACTATTTCAGAAGGGTAAATAATTACAGGCAGTAAGGAAAACATAATAGGGGTTATTAAATAGTAAAGTGTTTATAATGTAAAAAATGACATGTCCACTGAAGTTATCAGTATGTGTTATAAATTTCAACAAGAAGTAGACAATGACCAGTTTCATTTGTTAGGGTAGAACCGCATGATGGTTAGGTTTTCATTTTTAAAACATTTGAATACAGTTACAATAACACTTCTTCAACAAAAATATCTTAATTGTACCATTTAAAATTCAAGCCATGTGGAACATACAATGCAAAGACTCTCAGCTATGGAAACACTGCTGGAATGCCACCTCCAAGTCTACCGTCATTTGGTTGGTGATAGGTAGGCAGTTAGGAAAATCAGTCTGGACTCGGGAGGCCATCAGTACCTGAATTGTCCTCATCCTTGCGGATTTTCAGCTTCACAAGTTCTTCACATTGTTGGAGGATCTGGACAGCATCTTCCATGGAGCAATTGTCCAGCCGGATGTTATCTATTGCAAGTAACTTGTCCCCAAGTTCCAGGGTTCCGGTTCTGTTGGTGAACAAACAGTAATATGTGACTAAAGCTAACCGCCTTAACAGGGTGCTCCAACAGGCATTAAAGACAATGTGGTTTTATGGTACTCTTTAGGGAAGAAGTTCTTCACTGTTTTATAAATGACATTGATTGACAACCTCTTTACCACTTTCCAGGTTTATTTGAGATGGATGCCATGACATTAAATAGCAGAGTATAAAAACATTGCTATGCTTTCTTCATTAAACCAGCACATCGACACAGGCCTGAGCTTCCTAGAAAGGGAAACAGTGGGCTGGGGTCTACAGAGACCCTGGCGTCTTTATGCTTCTCTGCTTTTTCCCATCATTTATGATCCTTGGAAGCCTGGACACCTGGAGAGTGCTGAGAGGGGCAGAGACCAAGGCAGGGAAGGGTTTGACATGGTCTGAGACCACCTGTCTCAGACACTTCCATCTGCATCTAGAAACTCAGTATGGTTGGAATAGGAAGAGAAGATGAAGATGAATCTGATGCTCCCTATTTGAGAAGTCAGCACAGTAGTCTCATCCTGGCTGTGGACCACTATAGGTATGCTAAAAGTCTTCAAGGCCCATCAAGAAGTGGGAAAAATAATGAGAGTGTTTTGTGCACATGTGTGTCTATGTGAACCTATGTACAGACACACATATTTGTAAGAAATGTCCTTTACATTTTATGTCTGTGACAGAGGATGCTATTTCCCAGTATCCCTTTCCTTCTTTTGGGTCATGCCCGAAATGCATTCTCCAAACTGTGTCAGCATCCTCTCTACTGGTGAATCATGGAATGGCTCTCCAGGCTGGGGATACTCAGTAGCTGTTATGTGAAAGAAAGCCTTCCGTCTTGTTTGATTCACTGCATTTGTAATCACAAATGCCTCACTGTAGCTGAGCCTATAACTACATCCCTAAATCCATACATTACCCTTCCTACATTTAAAAAAAAATTATTCATTAATTTTAAAGAGAAATTCTTCCATGCATTGGTTTACTTCTCAAATGCATACAACAACTGCCGCTAGCCAGGCAAAAGCCAGGAGAACACAACACCATCTGTGTCTCCCATGTGGCTGGCAGGAATCAAAGTCTTGGGCCATCGCTGCCACCTCCCAGTGTGTACATTACTGAGAAGCTGAGGAGGCAGGACAGAATCCCAGACACTCTGACAAGGACCTGCAGTGTCCCCTTCCTACTTTAGAGTGCTACAATATTTCTTTGATGAAATCATGATAACTGATGGAATTTCTTAAAGTCTTTCGTTGGAAAATAAAAGTTAACAGAGTCGTAACAGTATTCTGTTCTTTGAAAAACATTCTTACATGTCAAATAGACATTTCGAGATGCTTTGATTTTGATCATATATGGTCCAATGGGTAATGTGAACATTATATAAGACTGAATTATCTATCCTGCTTGCCCACCAGAACATTCGTCCATGAGTTAGTATCTCCAGGTGGGATACCTCTCCTAACTGGGAATCAAAGATGGAAAGATGCTCAATGAAGGATACCCAGACCAATGAAATACTCAAAATAGTTCTAGCTGATGGCTGCCTGCACTGGGTGAGTTTATAACTTGATATGAGGGGAGAGATTCATGTTGTCATTGCTACTAGGGATGTCACATGTGACTCATTAATAGTGGCTGATTGAAAAATTCTGACAATACAGTGGTCCATTAGCAAGGTCTGCATTAGGTACAGAAGGAATCATTTCTAGTTAAAGAGAGGATTTTGAATAAACGAGAAGTCTATTTTCCTTACCTGTGAGCTACACTTCCTTTCTTGATATCTGAAATGACAAGAGGGTCTCCTGGTTTTCTACTGGATGGTGCTGTAATAAGATGGAAGAGTCATATGTTTACATGACTGATGATCTGTCCACCACTGTACATTTCTGATTCATTATAATAATGAGTTAGGAAATATGTACATTATATACAAAATTAGTTAATGTACTTATAGACTCAAAACAAAGGAAAAGTCAATTTAAATTTGCACTGAAGAAAGTAACTAAAAAGTTGTCATCAAGGATTAAATCTTTTTCTAAAAAAATTATTATTGCAATTATTAAAAACAGAGATGGAGGGAGGGAAGGACAGAATTGGCTAATTGATTCCATCCATTGGTTTACCCTCTAAATACCCACGAGAGGTGGGACTGGGTCAGGCTGAAGCTGGAAGTCCAGAACTCAAATCAGGATCTTCCAAAGGGGGGGGCAGGCTTTAACTGAGCCATCACTTGCTGACTTTGCTTATTAGCAGGAAGCTGGAATTGGGACTGGGGATAGGACTCAAATCTAGGCACTCCAGAGAGGGTATAAAGAGTAAGCACATCAGAAGGAGAATACTGAAAACATCTGGGAGGTCCCCTCAGTGATATCAATATGTGGTCCAGTCTCCTACCCCTTTCTCCAGTCTTTTCTGGGGAGATACCACTGTTGACAGCAAAATGCCATAGAATGCAAGTGCGTTGGGTGGATGGAAAGAACAGATATAGAAATTATTTTTTTCTACATGGAAATCTTCAGCTGGATGGATGATAAATTTTTAAAATCTTACAGATTCATATCTAAAAGCCATGAAATGTTCTAGAATGTGACTTATTTTATTGACTATAGCAAAGTTTATTACCACCTAATTAAAATTTTATATATACTGACATTCTAAACATACGCATGTAATTTCTGTTGAGTGTATAGATAAGATACTATTTTTCACAGTGGTAAGTTCTGTACTTTGTATGCTTTCTCAGGAATATGTCCACTTGATGAGAATGAAAAGCAACTAGGATTGAACCTAGTCATAAATAATGCTGGAAATGATTTATAGTACACATAAGTTTAAAAAATCACTTAATTTGAAAGGTTTGCACATTTAATTTAGGAGTTTGAAATTTAAAATGAATGATACTACCATTTGTAAAACAACAGCAATTTGCCTCCAGAGGAGTTTGCCAACCTAAAGCCAGAAATGCTTTCCTTTAAGAGATAATTAAAAAGGTTCTTAAAATATGGTTTTATTACAAATAGTAGAATCATCCCATAAAATCATAGAACCATATCGTATCCAATAATCCCAGGAAAATGTTTATGTACAAGAACACATGGTTTAATATTCTTATACAACATTTAAAGAGAAAGCAAACGCATATATCAGTACCTATCCACTGTCTAAATTAGTCCATAGTAAAAGTTAATGATGCTTCATTTAAACATTATTCCTCACGTCTAGCAAAGAATACAAAACATTCTAGTAACCAAAACTAATTCATATTTTAAAACGTTATTCAACGATTTGATGTAATTCCTCTAGAGAAATGTAAACATATAGCATTTTTATTCATTCCATATTTTAAAACCACAAATTGTTCTATGTATAGGGCACAAAAAAATCTTTGTAGCTACCAGCAAATATAACTTTTCAAGCAGCTGCCAATGAAACTTCTCAGGGATGTTGCCAAGCTGTAGTAAACATCACAGAGCACTCAATATTTCCTTTGGTTTTTTCAAACATCATGTTCCACTGAAATGGTCTTAATAAAAAAAAAAAAAACCTAAACAGCAGTCGGGCTCAGCATGGTGGCTAAAGTTTTCGCCTTATATGCACAGGGATCCCACGTGGGCCCCAGTTCATATCCCGGCTGTTCTGCTTCCTATGCAACTCCCTGCTTGTGGCTTGGGAAAGTCGTGGAAGACAGCCCAAAATCTTGGGAACCTGCACCCATGTGGGGGGACACCTGGGGGAGCTCCTGGCTCCTGGCTCCTGGCTTTGGACTGGCTCAGCTGCTGCTGTTGTGGTCACTTGGGGAGTGAATCAACGGGTGAAAAATCTTCCTATCTGTCCTCCTCTCTGTAGATCTGACTTTCCAATAAAACAATCATCACCTAGGCAGCCATAGAGGCAATGGAACACATCAAACCCTTCTCCGTTATTTTTGTAATAGAGGAGAAGAGCGGTGTGTTCTAGTTAGAAACTTCTTATGGTTTATCGTGGGGAAAGTGGACATTCTCACATTTGCTAGATTCTTCTTTATCCTTAAGCAAATCCATACCCATGTCCTGAGAAGGTACATCAACAGGATGCTCACTGGGGTAATGAAGCCAGCACACCATGCATGCACACCAGGCACCCTACGACCTTTCCCACACTGCCAGTATATCTTAAATTTCCCTTACTTGAGAAAAAAATCATAAAACAGGCATATGGACTTGGTTTGTGGTATCAAACAAATACAAATTATTTGTCAACATTTAAAAATTAGTGGATTCTCTGTAGACACATAGCTTCTTCTTGATTCTGAGAAAAAGAGGCAATCATAGTATAGTGGCCAAGATCCAGGATTTGGCACTCAGAATTGCTGGGTTCAAAATCCTAGCTGTCCAGGGTAATAGCTATGTGTGCACAAGGTCCTTCAGAGCTGAGTTTCCTCATCTGCTAGCGGTGATGAGTAACAGCAGCACACATCCCGAATACTTCAGGATCACGTGAAATGGCTGGACTCCTGCACCAGGATGCAGGATGCAAACATTTACAACAGCAGCACTGAGAGAAGTCAAGCAGCTTTCTATGACTTCTCTCCTTTTCTGTTGAATGAAATATTCCCGTCCTTATCTGTTGTCTGTTTTAGTTTGCTTATTTTCTTGTGTCTATGATGAATTCAACTCCACAGATTGGTCACAAAAATCCATAAATAACCTTTTGATACAGTAAGTTGTATCAGGAATTCTAGCAGAACTCCCTGGACTAGATTCTTTCTAGGACTGATACATGACCTTGGGAACTTCCTTTCTACAGGCCCTAGAAACCCAGAGGGAATTTTCTCCCTTACAGCCACAGACAACATGCATTGTGAGTCCAAATCTCTCTCTTTCTCGCTTTGTTTTCTTTCGTTTTATTTTGTATCTCTCACTGTTATTATTTTCCATGATACAGTTTTGTAGGTATAAGGATTCCCCCCTCCATCTCTCCTTCCTCCTTTTCTATTTTCCCTGCCCCACTATTTTCCTCCATATTGTTACAGTAGTATACTCCTTCAGCTACAGTTACAAGTCTAACATTTCACTTTTTAAGTGTATCATGGCATTGCAGGAATGGGCAATGCTGGAAAAATCTAGTATCATATTGTCAGAGTACATTTACAGCTTCATTGGGTATCTGTCTTCCTTTTATTCAGGAGTAGAAACGCACACTACAACATATCTTCATTTCCTGCTATGCTAGTCTCCATTACACTCATCTATGAGAATACATGGATACACTTATTTATCTATATATCTGCCTGTTTTTATTTTTGCATGAATGTCGTCTTAGTGAGAACATGACATCTTTCATCTTCTATTTTGGTGATGCTCATTTTCTAGCAGGTTTCTGAGGAAGAACACAAAGGAGGAGAACTTTATAACTTAACATTTAATTTTCAAGAAATATTTGTTCCCCCGTGGATGTTATCTTGTGATAGCATGCTTGATATACATTTGGTGACAGATCTCTTAATAAAGATTTTAGGCTAGAGAACTGATTCCTTTGGAAATGTGAAGGAAATCTACTCTTTTGTTGACTATTGCTTTCTGTCTTCCAGTCCTGGCACAGAAAAGCCTGTCATTCTGAGTTTCTGATTATTATTGATATTATTCAGATATGTATGAAACCCTCTCCTCACCTCCACCACAGGAGCCCTGCAGGATTCGTCTTCTATTCAGTGTTCCTACGGATGTTCTCTTTCAAGGGTTCACAGCCAATCAATTTGGAAAGAGAGCCATCAATTTTTTCTTTTTCCCCTTCTCTTTAATGTGTCTTAGTTGAATGTGTTGCCATTTATACTCAGCCTGTGAATTTTTTCCTTCCAGTCTAGATTTTCACTTATTTATTTTCTCCTAGTATCTTAATTTTTTCCTATTTTAATTTCATTAATTTTTAATTGCTGCTGTATTTTCCAACTTCCAGAGCTCTTTGTTGCGTGCTAGATGTTATTTTCTACCAGGATCCACTCCCTGCCCACCCTTAGCGATACACATGTTGCTAATAATATTAATGGTAGGATTTTGTTTTCCAGTTTTCTTCTTCCTACATAAGCCATAGCTGTGGGTTTCCTGCTTGCTTTTGCTGATAGTTTTATATATATATACATATACATATATGTTTTTTTTTTCAAATAGCTGTTTTATTCTTAGTTGTGTGTTCCTGCTAGAAAACATGGCCCCTCTGGCAGGGTCGGAGAGGAGCCACTTAGTGGTGTAGAGAAAGGCAGCTGAGGGACTGGCTGCTTTTCCCTGGACTTCAGCCCTCCTGTGTTAGCTTCATTACTCTTACTTCTTTTAACTTTCTAACTGCACCAATCTCCAAGTCTCCCTGAACTACAGGAAGCAAATTAGTTTCATTGTCAGCTTTGATTGTTGTTGCCTATTTTCCTTCTTTCAGATTTTTGCCATTTATAAAGTGTTGCATTGTTATTTAAAAAAGTGAAAGCATGTGTTGCTCTAGCCGCCATCTTCTGACTTAGCCATTTTAGAATCTCCTGTCATTCACCATAAAACAACAACAACAAAAAGCTGTTCTTTAGTCAACCTGAAATCTTTTCAAGTAATTATGGAGACAACTAGAGTCTCTATTTTTGATTTTTATATGTCCCTTCACATAAAGCCTAGTAAACTGCTAAATTTTGAAATCAGTTTAATGGGAATCAACAAAATATTCCAAAATATTCTATAGCATACAGCCATTCATGAAACTTACTTTATTCATCAAGTACTTTGTTCAGAATCTGACCAAATGTCCAAACCACATTAACACAATCAATCACCTTTAATTATAAGTATCTAAATAATGTGCCAAGTAAAGCAAGTTATTTGATTTGAAGTAGTGAGCAGTTTTCTTGGAAAGCTGGCAAAAAAACTACCCCATGAACCAAGACTTAAGGGAAAAATTACAGATTAGTTGTGATTCTGAGACAGGGTGCTTTATGATTTTTATAAAACGTAAAGCAAGCCTTTGTACTTGTAAGCTATTCATTCACAACTTAAAAGGAAATCCAATAAACTAACCACATTCTCAAACCATGGTCTTTTGCTTTTCTGATAAAGGATCTGGTGAGGTTTGTCAATCAGACAGCAAAGGGACTTGATGCACTAACAGTAAAGCTGCCATTAAGTCCGACAGAATGGGCTTGGAAATCTGCTTCATCTGTTATTAGCTCTGTGTCTTTGGGCAGGGGACTCAGTCAAGCTGTACTTTCCTCTTTCTAAATCAGGGATAGATGTCAAAGGACTGCTTTAAGGACCAAGAGAGAAATCACTGTGCAATGCCTAGGATAAACTAGACACAAATCCCAATAATAGAATGTCAAAAGAAAACACCAACATCCAAAGGACTTTACTAACAATTGCACATGACAGAGGCAAGCAGGGTTCTCTGACTGGGAAGGCAGGGGACCCTGCCAGAAGGCTCAAGCTCTCATTTTTGATTGTTTGGGGTGTGAGATCTAATTTCCAGCTCCATACTGCATCCTTCTGCTAGGCCATTCCACTTTATCTGCTGCAATAAATCACTCTATATTGTAGCAGCAACATCGATAAAAGTAACGCCCGATGTTAATGTGCTGTGAATGTTTTCTAAGGAGCTTAAGAAAATTAGTCTAAAACTGCTCATCACATCAGGATGAGAGGGTCTCATTTCTCAGTCAATTAGGTCTGAAGACTGAGCAGCAAAGACTCTGATGGGGGGCTTCCAGAGCTGCAGACCGTTTAGAGTTTCCACAAGGTGAAGAAGGCAGAAAGCGGACTTTGCACAGTGAGTGGGAAAAATCCATGAACCCTCCCCAGAGCCTTGGCTTCACTAACAGAGCCTGTGTTTGAAAAGGCAGTCTCTGGATTTCCTACTTAAAAAGCACAATTATAGTTGGCACTGACTTTTGTGGTCTACAGCTGTGCTTAGAATATGTCACAAGAGTATGTATAAAAAATGATCAAAGTCACTAACATGTGTCAGAATTTCCAGTGTGTTCTAGGCATTTTGCACCTATTAGCATGTTTAATCTTATCCACAATGTGATGAAGAAAGAACAATACATGCCATTTCCTAGACAAGGAAAACTGGAGCCAGAGGTTTGGGAAGTGGGGCAGGCTCTGAATCCTTGATTTTTAAAAAAATTGTTTTCCAAGTCAAATCTTCTTTTGTCCACAGAACAATCTTGGCACAAGCATGTGTAAGAAGCATTTAAAAACTGAATGAAACGTCATCATTTAATTCCAGTTTCCATGAGGATTTTGATGTGCCCTCAACTCATGAACATGTCCTGGGGCACACAGTGCCTGGCAGCACAAAATAAGACTTCTCATTCATTCACTCAACTGTTGCAGGTATTCAGTAAGCACCTTGTATGTGCCAGGAACTGAGTTAGGCTTCAGAAGTTATATAATAACAATGGAAATAAATTTTGGTTTCTTTCTTTCTTTGTTTCAAATAAATTGTTCTCTCAACCAGCAAAATACTAGGCTCTCCACCACAAGATACAACGGAGCATGGTCAGAATGAATTGCATCAATTAAGCCATTGCTCTAGAGGGCTGGTGAAAAGTTTATACAACTTTACGCATCGTTTCTTCATCCAGGACACTCTAGCACTTTCAGCATCCACAAGAGCTCATGGCTGGATGAAGACTCAAGCCACTCCTATGGCAGCTCGTGGGTTGTTGCCACTTCTGGTATTAAAATCAATACATCACAATCTTGTTGTTCACATTTTTTCTGAATCATAATACTACTCTTAGTGATGAAGCAGATATATGTGGCTTACTGGATATAACTAAAATGTCACTTTTCTGTGTTAAATTCATATCATCGAAGTTGAGTTAGCCTAGCCCATTTGATAATGCTCAACTGAGATTCTTTATTGTTGCATTAACCATTGACATAAATACTGTCATGTCAGTACAATGAGGCACTTTGACACAACTTGATCATTTTTACCTTGAAAGGATCACCTCTTGGTCACAGCCATTTACCTCCCTATCTGCTTTGGTCTTTAAGCATTATTATCCTGAGGCATTAGTGGATGAACTTAATCTATGGATATTAAAAGCACACATACACAATTTCTGTTTTATAAAGGGCCATGGGGGATGAAATTTTCCAAGCTGTTTTACAAAAGCAGATGTGAAACTAGAGCCTTGGGGGAAAAGAGAGTTAAACACATTCATATACCTGGTTTTCCTTTTGGTTTGATTATTGAGACACTCTGCACCACGAGGAATGCAGGAATTCACTAAAGTAAGATTCATTAGGACCCTGAAATGGACTAAAGATATATGGTGGGCATATGGGAAGACAATCTTAAAAGTAACTGAATGAAATTTCTACTAGTTAAATTGCAAGGAAAACTTAGTCCACAAAATACTAAAAAGCAGACAATCTACATGCACTTATCTGCACATTTATCACTTCAATATTCATTGAGGATGTGTGAGCATGGGTAATTACTACTCACCAGCCATGGCAGATTATTTTCATTTAATATTCAAGACAACCCTTTTTGTGGCTATACTAATTTTTACTGATGAATAGGATCATAGAGAGTTTAATTTTCCCAGTTTACACAGTAAATACTGGAGGCATAACTGGTTCCAGTTTTCTATCATGGAACACAATCTCGAAAATAATACTTAAAATATTTGTTTAATCTGAAAACCATTTGACAACACGCATCTAACATATTTTTACAATTCTCTCTATATTTTTAATTAACTTATTTTAAAGACAGGGATATTTTCAGAGATACACAGAGATAAAGTTCCTATTCACTGACTGCCTCCCTAAATGCCTGCAATGGCTGGGGTTGGGCCAAGGCCAAGGCTGAGAGACGGGAACTCAGCCTGGGTCTCCCTTGTAGGTGTCATAGGAACCCAACTGTTTGAACCATCACCTGTGAGCGCCCAGGGCACACATGTCTAAGAAGCTTAAGTCAGGAGTCAGAACATGCACTTGACTCTAATACAGGACAGGAGTGCCCTAACTGGTCAAACTCACCCTCAAATTTCATACTGTAAACAAAAGCCAAGACTTCTACTTACAACTTATGGTTATTCCAAGTTCCACATTGTGCTTCTTAGGGAGCTTTACATGGAATGTTCCACTACTGGGGATGACAGACTCTGTAATTGCAAAACAAAAATGAGTGTGTTTATAGAACAAGCAGATAATTGGAGCACCAAGGACAAGCTGCATCAGAAATACTTGCATCATGAACATCTGTTGTTAAATCTGTAGGAAGCATACGAGTGTTTGTGAAAATAATCATGCTGGCATTACTCTGGTTCTGGTGATAATACATGAGGGGAATTCAAAAAGACTGTAGAAAAATGGGACTCAAAGATATAGACATTTTGGTACAAAGGCTTTTAAAATTCATGTTTATACAAGGGATTTTTAAAAAGTTCATGGAAAATGTGCATTATGAGAAAATCATACATAAGATTTCAGTGTTTTCTGCCAAAATAAACATCTTCTAATTCAATTTCCCATTAACGTTTTAAAGTTGTATTTTATATCCATAAGACATTATGTACAATGTTTAGCAATAGTTGAGCTTGCTATTTTTCACTTGTGATGCAGGCATCATGTACATCAAAATTACAGATTCCAGAATCGTCCCAATTTATGACATTGGAGTATCTGAAGATGCAGCCTAGAAATCCACATTTTAAACCTCTTTTCCAGGAGATGCTTAGGGATACTGAAACATGAACAGTCTCAAAGCGTCTTACACTTTCCCCCAGCCATACTTTTCCAGGGTTTACTACTCAGCAATTATCGCTGTTGCCTGTTTCATCTGTTGCTGGAAGGTAACTGGCACAACAGACTTCAGGAGAGATTTTAGCTTGAGAGGATGGTGGTTGCTTGGTGTGGGAAGGAAAGGTACCTTTATTTTGTGAGCAGCTGAAAAGAGCATGAAAGAGGTAGAAGCAAGGGTGGTTGATGTTCATAGTATTTCACAATTGTATGGTGCTGGCCAAGGCCTTCAGACTGGATGCTGACCAAATTTCTAACACATGGATCCAAGAAAGACTAATGGTGTCAAGGGTAACCCTTTAGTTTGTGGATTCTGGGGAGCTCCAGAAGATTCCAGAGAGGACAGAGGACAATAGAACATGTAGATGGGTTCAGACAACAGCCAACCAGTACAGAGGGAAGCTAACACTGTAGCAACAGAGAGGGAATCAGTGTGTACTGACTGACTCTCAGCTGATTTTATTAGGATCTAACTCTTTGTGAAAAAAACCACCACATCTTCTTAAATATACTTTTAAAATTCCTCTAATCAGTTAAGAGTTAATGACAATGTTAAAATGGAAACATTCTCTGAAGATAATATCTATTTGTACTAGACTGCTAATGATTATAATAAATTTTGAAGGTTTTAGAAAGATGTGAGTAGTAGTCTCAAGAGCAAAGGAAGTATTAGGGAAAGATTGTGCAATGATAAAATACTTTAAAGTACTTTAACTACTCGATTAACCTGACTCAAAAATGACTCTCCCATCCAGTACCCCAAGAACTAACTAAGCAGCTGTGATATGGGCAGAACTATTAGGGCCTCAGGCACCAAGTCCAATATGTCAACCACACAGGAAAGAGATTCTGGGTCTCTGCAGAGCAGAAGTAAAAGCTAGGACTGAGCTTATCCCTTTATTGTTCTTCCTTAAGTTGTTCTTGTCCTTTCTCATAAAGCATTCAGGCAGTAATCCTTTTACAAGACCAAGATCTGAATTTCCAACTGGGAAGGCTGGCCTTAGTGTTCAACATGCCTGTCCCGAAGTGGCAAGGTTTGGTCAGCACATCACAGTAGCCAGTGTGTAAAGGGAATAAAGCACAAGTCTGTGGGAGGAGACAGCTAGAAGTCTTGGAAAGTCTACAATTGGTCTTGAAAACTGACCTCTGACGCAAGCTCTCCTGGCAGTGAAATACAAATTTTTCGCTTCCCATAAATGCCTATTGTCCACCTAAATTAGCAGGAGTACATTTCCCTTATTTGCCCTTAAAGATCTCTGATGAACATGTTGATTCAGTAAAGCAAATGAAATGGAAGAAAGCAGAAACTGCTGAAAGAGCCGAGTGCACTGGTGGACAGGGGTTCGCGGCACAGCAAGAATAAATAATTTGAATCTTTGGATAAAGCACATAGTTGATCCATAAAGAAATGTGCAAGAAGCATCACTGTCCATGCAGATCATTTTGTGAATGTGTAACTGTTCTAGTGTTTTCTGCTTTAAGAAATGTTCTCTGTGAAAGGGAATGGGAGCATACTGCATGCTTGTATGAGTACCTGTATCTAAACATGCAAATGACATCTTGCCCATAAAGCTACGCTTATATAAGTACAGTCTCTGAATTACAAAGGCTGGAAAACACCAATCTATGGTAGTTACCATAGTAACATTTTGCTTTTATAACTTTTAATGCAGGGAAACTTGACCAAGATTAACACTGTTAATGATACTGAGGGAGATGTTATCACTTCCAGGAAAACAGTAATGGATCACATTTGACTACATAATATTTGAAATATTCATAATGATAAACAAATACCAACAAATGAATCTTTTTGATCAAGCTGTGGCTTCATTTTAATCTTTAAATGTCAACATGATTTATTTTCTATTTGTTAGTTTTTCATTGCATGATTATTTGGCTGTAAAAGCAAAGGTCCATTTAATTTGGGGTTTCATGAAGAAATACTACTACAGGGGAAAAACATCCAATATTTGGAAAAACATCAGGTTTAGAGTAAGTCAACAGCATCTGAGAATAAATGATGTTTATTTTCTTAGACTCCCTTGAGATTATTGTGCACACCCCTGGCTTTGCTTTATCTTGTTAATACCATAATTAAAAACACATTCGGGTAAACAAAGATTTCCTTCCTTCATTTCTGCCCGAAGCAGTCACTGTTGGCAGAACCAGATAACCGCCACATGATAATCCATCAAGCAGGACTCCCTCAGTGGGGATAAGTCAAGGCTTAACTCCCATCCATTCAGAAAGGCAAGGGGGTTGGGGTGGATCCAATAATGACAGCAAACACCATCTCATAAGATTTTCACTGAGACTTCTAAGATAAAGCTGTGTTTTATCTAAAAATAACCTTCAGAGTTCAAACTTGAAACTTCAAGTACAGATGGTATTTATTTTAGGTAGAAATATCAGTATTAAACAAAGGAAAATGTACATTGTGCATATCTTGTAACAATTTTATCAAACTAAGACATTTTGGTAGATAAATATTAAAATTAAGCATTTATTAATAAATACAATAAAGTTATGTAGTTAGGAGCACCTTTAACCAAAAATAATTTCCATTGAAGTGATTATGTTTGCAGAATAGCACTTATTTAAAGTTATTTTTATTTTATTTAAAGTTCAGTCGAAATTGTACTCACAGTCACGCCTTTAAACATTTTCTGTGACTTCAAATATTTATAAAATAGAGATAGTACCTGAGATCCAAGGATCTGAGAATGAATATCTGGTTATAAATATCTCAGAGGAAGAGTTTTGGAAAGGGATGGCTCACATTGAGACAGTCGGGAGTGAATGCAGAAGGGACGGCTCAAGAGCTACCCCACTGAGGTCCCAAATTCTTGATTGGCTGAAGATATTTTTTGATCCTAAATTTTCAACAGATTCTGTTAGATGAGTAGTCACTAACTAGAGTATTTCATTGAGGATTCTGATGTTATGTCTGGGTTGTTGGAGAGAATGCAGATAACAAATGGTGATGTCTGACACAGGCAAAGCAGAAAGTAATAACAGACTGGAATCTATTTTTTCTTGTTCTACCAATTATTTCTATCTATTTGTTGCTTTCTGCAACAAGGGCAAGGGGAGACATCACAGGAGTTTCCCCTGTGCCTTATTAAGTAAGCTGGGTATTGAATAGATATTGTTCCTATTTTTTTTAGGAGTTTAAACTTAATTAAAATACTCAATCAACAAAACATAAAATATACATGTAAATTAAGTATTCACTAAACAATGAGACAATTTCAAGGATACAAATAAATAGAACTGCATTTATAGCACAAGTAAACACACAGATACTGCATTTTAACATCTGTTTGGAGAGGCAGTGTAAACTACACGGAAATCTATAGACCCAGGATCTATAAGATCTTGGGTTTCCCTAACTGAGCCTCAGTTTCCCAGTTTCCGCATTCACACATAAATTCAGGCATTGCATTTATAAGGAAACTTTCATCAGGAATGCTCTGTCAGTTTAGTAAGAAGGTTGCGGGCACGCAGGCCAGCCTTTCCCGAAAACTACACTTTTACTACCATCCGACTGGAAAAGGAGGCTACCAAACATTAACTGGGACAGTTGCATTCTTCCTTCCTTTCACCTTAGTGAAGATGGAACAACCATACACAACAAAAAGAGAAAGTTTGTCTACATTCTTTTTTCTGCAGTGCTCGAGTGACACTCTGAGATTTGGTTAGTGCGTCCTTTTTTATTATTATACGAGAGGAACAGGTTTCTTCATTTTTTGCTTGTTTATTTTTATGTTTTGTTATTATTAATTACTACTTGCCATTTGTTAAAATTGTCATTGTGATAAACATGTAGAAAAAAATAAACACATAAAATAGTGCTCGCTTCAACAGCATATATACTAAAAGTGAAACAATAAATATGTAAAAATTTAAAAAATAGTCTCCAGACCCCAGCTGTGGGCAACTGCCTAGGTTGCCTTGTGCTTAGGAAAGTGTTACACTTTTGGGAGAAAAGCGGCCAATAGCTCCCTGGCATTCTGGGCCTGGTTAATGCCAAATCCGTGTTAATTATGCCAGTATGTCAACATAGTTGCTGCTGCTGATTATTTTTTTTCTTTCCTTCTTTTGTTATTATTTTTAAAAGATAAGTGGGGGAGGCAGGAAACTTGGGTCAAGACATTGCACCCCAGCCCAGCCCCCAGGTGGGGGAGAGGGTGCAGATTGCCTAGGGAAGGGGTCTGGGGACATGTTGCAGTGGGAACAGCTAAGGGAATGAATGATCTCTGGGATCTTGCACAGGCTGGGTCACTGTACTCATGAGCAGGTAAGGCAGCTGAGACAGAGTGCTCAATGGGGGGAAGCTGGAGGGCCTTGCTGCTTCAGTTCAAGGCACCCGTCCATGTATAAGACTTACACTGGGCTAAATAGCATCATCTGCCACCCCTGGTACTCATAAATGCTATAGCTGGAAGGCATGTCTGGCTGGGATGGTTCACAGTACCAGCCCATGAATGCTGGAGCACTGAGTGGGCCATGTCAGGCTGGGCCTCAGAACCCATGAGAACACAAGAGAACTGGATCTAGAGGCAGATTTTATAGGGGAATTGTGGCTTGCCTCTTTGTGTAATGCAGCATCTGCTGGGCCATGGAATTCACCTGATAGGAATCCACCTGACACTCATTGGGGCTTGGACTTAGAGAATGTTGGTCTGGGCCAGGCTGCAAATCCCATGGCACATATAGGGGTCAGGACTGAGGGCAGCCTATGCCAAACAGGACCACTGCCTCCACTGGTACACATGACATCCAGGGCTGGGAGCAGGCTTGGTAGAAAAACTACTCTAGCAGGCAAATAATCTAGTAGGCAACTACCCTGCTAGGATGCAGCTCCTTCTGGGGAGCCCAGGAGCCAGGGCTGGGGGCAGCACTTTCCAGTGTTTGTGTAGGCTGGGTATGGGAAGAGGCTGTGCTAGGCTAGGCCTTAGAACCTGCTGGCATACATGAGAACCAAGATGGGTTTCAGGCAATGCCTAGATGGACTGGCCTGGGTTAGGCTGCAACACTTGCCAGCAAGAGCAAATACTGTAGGTAGGCCATACCAGCTGGGTCGAAGCACAAGCCAGCACATGCTGGCTAGGAACTCTGGGTTCTCTGTGCTGGCATGCACTTCTCATTGATGAATGCGAGAGCTGGAGCTGTGGACCAGGCTGGACTAGGCTTCAGCTCCCATAACTATGTGTGGGCTTGGGTCTGGGGATGGGCAACTGGGCTGGGCTCCAGCACCTGCTGATCCTCACAAGAACCAGAATGGGTGTGGGAAAGGCCAGGCTGATGTGGTACTCACTGGATCACACGAGAACCAGGTCTGGGGATGGGTCAGGCTGAGTTAGGCTGTAGCACTCATGAATGAGAGCAAGAATGGGTGTGGGTCAGCTGGGCTAGGCCACAGAACCCACTGGTCAGTGCCAGGACTAGGCCTTGCCATATTAGTTTGGTCAGCAGCAACCAATGGCACAAGTAGGATAAGGACTGGGGGAAGGCCTGGTAGGGAAATGTGGGGAACTCCTCTTTTAGGCCATATCTGCCACTGGGAAGCATGAGAGCCAGGGCTATACCATGCTGAGCTGTAGCAGAGGTACATGTGTGAGCTGGGTCTGGGAGCAGGCTGGGCAATGTCAGTCTATAGCACACACTGGCATGAGTGGGAGCCAGGATAGAGTGCAGGCCAGGCTAGTTGGAATACCCACCAGTTCACATGAGGGCTGAGGGTCAGCCAGGTTGGGCTAGGCTGCTGTACCCACTGACATGCCCAAACCCTTGATGGATGCAGACCAGCCAAGCTAGATCACAGTACCAGCTGGCAAGTGCCAGGACTGGATGTGAGTCATGTCAGGTTGGACCACAGTAACCCCAGACAGGCAAAAGATCAGAGGCTGGGAACATGGCTGGCAGGGGAACTGTGGGTATACCCCTGCTAAACTGTACCTATCACTGGTGAGCACAAGAATCAGGGGCTGGGGGTGGGCCAAGCATGGCAAGGTAGCGGCATCTGTCAGAATACATGAGGGCAACAGCACCCGTGGGTATGCAGGAAAGCCAGATTGGATGTGGGCTAGGCTGGGTTAGCACATAGCAGAGGTTGGCACATGCAAAAACCTGGGCTGGGGCGGGCCTGGTATAGGTTATTGGGAGTTTTCTCTACTAGACCACGGCTAGTAGTCTGGTATGCATGAGGATCCGGCCTGTGGTAGACTGGCTGGGCACTGTAAGAAACACCATAATCTTTCAGGTAACACCCTACAAACACTGTTCGCCACATTGGGGTTTTTAGGGGGTCTTTAAAGTACCATCCCCCATTCCTGTATGCTGGTGTGGTTTGACAGCAAGGTGCATCCTCTCCCCCTCCTCATTTGTGGACACAGGAGAAAAAAAAATAATAAATACTGAAACATAGGTGCCACCCACCTTCTTTTACACATGACCCTTCCCAACCTAATCAGAGGTTCATATGGGTGTGTATTTCTCTCAACTATGTAAACAATGTTAAAAAAAAAATCACCCACAGACACAAATGGAGCATTGCACAAGCAAATAGTACTGAGAGACCAAGAGCCACCAAAGAATGTGGGGACCACCTCACGTCCCTCAGTCCCTCAGTCCCACAGCTGAGTCAACTTCAATTCAGTGATCCATTCATCCATTATTTCACCAAGTCCAAGCAGTTTCTTGTAATTCCAAGCACTACTTGGGGAGCTGATGGGCTAGTTGTGAACAACAGGTACAAAAAAGTTGACATTACACACTTTTCCACTGAAGAAAATAATCTAAGAGGCACAAGAAGAGTCAAGAAGAATTATAAGCTGTGTCAGGTAGAGAAAGATGGAGGGTCAAGAAATCTTTTCAAGGCAAGTGGTATGTGAAGAAAGACCTGAATGCAAGCAGCAGAACACCAAACTTCTCAGAAAGAGCTGTCCAGGAGGCAGCGGATACAGCTCTGCTAAGACCTTCTGATGACCATGTGTGCGGCATATCCGATGTAGCTATTTCGCATTCCTCCTCATTCCAAGTCCTGTTCTCGTAATATCCAATGAAAGTAACCTTTACATATTTTCACTTAATTTTATCCTATCATTCTGAGAGATTTTACTGTGGGAGTGGTCCTTCCCTCATACTGAATTCTCAATCTTCAGATTTTCCTATGGTCTTAACCCTCTTTCCACTCAGGTAACTCACTACTTGGATACTTACTTGACTTCTGAAACTTCCAACTGATGCTTTGACTTTAATTTGGCAGCCAGCAGCTCTGCTACCTCATTTCTCTCACTATACTCAGTTTTCTTAAGAACCATAGACTTTTGTAAATCCAGTCTACTACATTGTTATTTTATTTAATTGTCTTTTCTCACCAATTTAAAGTCTTTGATACCTAGGCACTATTGAAGAGTAGTTAGGATATGGCTTTGGAAGTTAGCTTGCTTAAACTAAAATTACAGCCCTGCTAGTCACTGTGTGTGCCTCAGTGTCTGAGCAAATCAAAACTGTCACTTCTATAACTTTTATGGAATAAGACACAGTCCACGGCTTAAGCACTTGATAAATACTTCTGTGATAATTTTTATAGTATTATAATGATCTGTCTTTTCTGTTTGCCATTATTTGTATGTATTCAATGAAATAACTGTTCCATAGTATGAAGGGTTTCCAAAAAGTTCATGGAAATACATATTATGAAAATACTATGCTTGGACTTCACAATTATTGCATTAAAATAAGATTACATCTTAATTCAGTTTTTCTACAAACTTGATGAAGTAATCTTGTAAATACTATGCAAATATTTGCATAATTTAGTACTTGGGTCTAAAACCATATTTTTATTGACTGGGATAGGTTCTTAAGTGTGTGGGGTCACATTTCACTCTAGGAAGACAACTTCCTTATTCCACATACCTGTCAGCCACTGACTACAACTCCCTCCATGACCAGACTTTAGTTGGGCTTCTCTGAGCCCTCTTGTTGATTGGGCTTTTTTCTTGTCCTAGGCCTTGGACCTGGGAGATTTGATAAAATTCCTTCTGAGAATAGAATTGTCCTGCCACTTGATATGCAATTTAGTCCCTCTTGCTAATTTTTTTATCTAATGATGTCTTGACCTCTCCAAATGCTATATAAAAATCCTCATCTGCCCTGGCTGTAGCTAGGATTGAGTTCAGTCTCTCTCCGCTATAGAAGTAGTCTTGACCCCTACTGCAAGAGTATTAATAACGCCTTTCCATCATTTTTAAACAAATGTCTGGTGTAATTTCTCTTGAACATTAAAGGCCAAATACACGCCTACTGGGATTGTACAAATCCATCTAATGAATTTTCATTGCTCCCTATAGAACTTTCTTTTTTTTTTTTTTCTTTTTGCAATGAGAAGTGTCAGACTCCCCCTACCTCTGTGACTGAAGGATGTGGTTTCTCCAGCATATTAAGGGAAAGTTAGAAAAAATAAAGACTATCTGATGTTTTCAAATTCGCCTCTATAGTAGCTATTACTTACTCAATTTGTCACATTTGTTTTCAGGTGCTCTTGCAGTGACATTTTAATGAATAAAACAAAAACAATGCTCAAATCAAAATACACCCAAACCTCTTAAACAAAAACATGCTCAGTGTATTAAAAAATTCCCTTTCTGCCACATAACCAATATAATTCACACAGCCCACTCCTAACTGCCATGGACATAAAATTATTTTTATACCTGCGACATCAAACTCGATTTCCAGGGTGACCTTGCTGGTGATAGAAGAGTCTCGGAGGAGCTGATTGGCTTCCTCAAAGGTGCTATCTTCAGTCGGAATTCCATTAATGGCCATCACTCTGTCTCCAATCTGTAGCACCCCACATCTAATTTAAAATCACATGTTAGAAGTTGCATGTTAATAATTTTCAAATTGAATTTGCCAAATTTGTGTTTGATTCTTGAAAAATAACATAACCATTTGTTCTTGCTTATCCAATACTGTGGATATCATTCTAGGTAAATGTCAAGGTCTGTTCTTTTGCTGATTTCATGGTTAATACTGTGAATAAAGGAATCCTAAATTATTCCATAAAAGTGATTAATAATTTATAACCATGCTATTGTTATACCATGAGCTGAAACTATATATAAAGATAAATGTACATTCCTGTGTAACAGAGAAGTTATTAAAGCTTAAACTTCAGATTTTTCTCATGGATTTTCTTGTTAATTAATATAGCCTCTAGTCCCCTCATAGAAAAAATTTTCTAGATAAAGGCATCTATGCTTATTATTCTCAAATTCAATCAAAACCATAAAATTGTATCGTCAGAACAGAGCGTTCATTATGTTCTGCATTTCCTTCATTGAGCACTGTTTCATAATTTATTAGCCATTCAAAGATAGCCAGTTCTAGAAATGCAGAGCAGAAAAAAAAAAAAAAACAGCTGCCATGAAAAATGTGTCACCTCTCTGCTGGGCTGTCAGCTTCGATGTAAGAAATCAGAGGTGGAGAAGCAAGAGTCTCTGTGGCAAACACACTGCCCTGCAGTTGGATCCCAAATCCTGTGACAGGATCTGCTGTCAGCACAACTTCCGTAGTTTCTGTGTGGACAACCTGGCCAGCCAGTCCCACTGTGCTAGAGGCTAAAGACACTGGAGGAAGCAACATGAAAAACAATGAGTTTGGAGCAAATACACATAATTCTAGCATTTCCATAACAGACAGTATCTTTGAACATAAACTACCTGGCAATGGTAAGAGGTTAAGTTTTGCTTTTGCAGTAAAAAGTGTAGTCAGGACTGAACAAAATAGATGAAGCCCCCAATATTTGTTATGTTTAAGTCAAAATAACAATGCAGCCATCTCTATTGTCTCATTCTTCAAATCAGAAACAGTTGTGGGAATGCAGGAAAAAGATGTTCTTGGGGTCAAGGTACATAGGTTTAAACCCTGGCTGTATCACCAGCACCAGATGGGGTTGCCTTGGGGATAAGTCATTCCATTTCTTTATGTTTCTGTATATTGTCTAGGAAAAAGGAATGGACTATTTGAACTAGCCATCTGTGTTTGAGGACCACTAACTTTCTCCAAACAAACTGAAACTTAGCTTTGAAGAAGAAATTAATTTACACCTAGCTTCAGGCACAGTGCAGCTGTGCTGATCCTCACCCATCCTCTTGCACTGGGTTGGCATGACGGAGTCATCTAAAGTCTGTGCATTCCTGTTACCCTAAATTTGGTCTCTTCCATTTTTAAATCTTTCCCCTTGGGTCTCCTACTTCATCCATGTCTCTTCTCCAGTACTTCCGTAAGCCTCTAGGCAGACATCTCTGTTTTCCATCTATCCCTTTATGACAGGGCCGCTGGATTCCCCTCTCAGCGCTGCCTACTGAATCAGGGTACCTGTGCTCTCTGTACACAGGCTCTCTGCCTGCAGTGTCCTCCATCACACAATCTCTTGCTTCCAAATGCATCCTCTGTCCCCTCCTGCTTTAACTACAACCTGACACCAGAAACTGAAAGCCATTTCCCTGCCATTTCCTCCAAATACATGCAAGGAGGAAGAAAGGATCATCACATTCCCTCTTTCCTGCGCGTGGTGCTGTCCTTTCAAACAGCACCTACTTACATTTTTATTTTTTAAAAATTATATCTGCTTTACTTCGCCTTCAAATCCATCATTTTGTACCTATAAATCCCTCCTATTTCCTTGGTAATTTCAAGATTTGCTTCTTAGTCCACCTCTGCTAAGCTACAGCTCCACTTTTTCATCAGTGTCTTTGACGTGATGGCAATGTTTTAATGTGCTGACTTTCTGGTTTTCTAGGAATCTCAATGCACTTATAAACAATTCTACCCATTACAGCTTTCTTCCAGCAGAAACCCGAGCTGGGCAACAGCTTGCTTCAGAAAGGAAAGATCTCCAAAATCTCAATACTTTAAGTCTCTAAAAAAATCTCGTTTTCCAATCCCTGCAAGAGTACCTTAATTAGACTTACAGTCCCATTTCCTATTACTTGTCTCCTAATGGTTTTCAAAACATATTTTTAGCAGTAAATTTTTTTCCTTCAAAAAGAAGTATCTAATGTTTTTTTTTTTTTCCCCAGATAAAAGCAGAGGTACTGTAACGGGGGTAGAAATGGGACATCACACTAGCCTCCCCTTGGCGTCACATGGGATTCCTGGGGCTGTGATTGGGAAGCCGTAGCCTTTACTGTCATCATTTCTCCACACATTCCATCTGAAATTTTAGTGACCATTTCAATGACATATCTATTAGTAACCAGAGATTTTTAAACCTCAAAAGATATGGAATACTTTAATATTTGATGCTGTCTTGTAATGTGCTATACAAAGTTACTATCAATTCATTTATGTCTACTGAGCCCTGGAATCCTGTTGTAGACCAATATTTTGCCATCGTATTTGATTCCTTACAGTATTTGTCTCAAACATTTTAATCCATCAAACCTTCTTTATTTCAAGATTGAAAAAAGTGTAATGATTTGTAAGAGTCCTTTGACAAAAATTATTCTCAATTTCAACTACTTACCAAATCAACTGTTCTTTCCTTCTTTTTCTTATTTACTCACTTCAGGGTATATTTCCTTGTTTTTCAAGGCTAACTGCTCCTTTTAGTGTTTTTCACAGTACTCTCTGTATCTCTTCAGTAATTTTTTGTGCCACAAAAACCTCTATCGCTGCTTTTCAAACTTTTCTATTCACTCCACTGGTTTTCTGACCTCTGTCTAGAGAGTCGTATGGATTCTTAAATGCTTTGAAATTTGTGTCCTCTATCATTCTTCTAACACTGCTTTCATCGATGACTTTCTGGTTGCTGTGAATAATACCCTCAGTCCCCGTAACCTTCCCTGTAGCAGCTGACCACCCATTTCTTTCTGAAATTGCTCTCTAGGTTTCCACGAAGCTGCACTCAAAATGAAAGTCATCCAAAGTCTACTCTAGCCCATCCTTTCCCTCATTCTCTTCCAAAATACTCAGTGATGTGACTTTGGCACAAATGACAGTGTCTGGAAAGTTTATGGAAAACATGTATTATAAAAACAATGTACAAACTATAAAGTTTTAGATTGCTGTGGCATTGTGGCATGCCAGATAAAACCTATTCCTATGACACTGGGTATTCCGCATAGGTGTAGGTTTGAGACCTGGCTGTTCCACTTCCGGGAAAAGCAGCGGGAGATGGCTCAAATGCTTGGGTTTTTGTATCCATATTGGAGACCTGGAAGAAGTTTCTGATCTAGCCCTAGCCATTGTGATCATCTGTGAACAAAAGATGGAAAACTATCTCTCCTCTCTCTCTAACTCTACCTTTAAGATAAATACAATAAATCTTATTTTTGCATTAAGTAGGCATAGCTTATAACTTCATTTTTCTAGAAACATTTTGAAAACTCCCTCCCTGGATCTTCTCAAATTTATTCTTCTAGTTTCTCTCCAATTCCTCAATTCACAGATATACTAGCCAGAAACACATTTCATCGACTTCCTGAAGTCAACATTTTCAGTTTGAATCATTTTCCCTTTCATTGCCTCTCTATGATCTCTTAATGAAGCCATCCTGTTTACAAGTTTTCCAGGCTTGAAATCTGAGAGACGCCTCAGACTTAAAACTCCTTGTGGTCTCAAATTCAACCAGTTGCTAAGATTTCTCAGGATGACCATTGAAATACACCTCCCATAAATCCTCTTTTCCCTTCCTGCTTTCCTTAATTATGTTTCCATTATTTTTGGCCCAATTTTTTCAGCATGCAGAATTTCTGATCCATGGCCAGTGCTCATGTGTGTCTGCGTGCAATTGTCAGATGAGTCCTTCTTTCAAGATGAGACTTCAACATAGGATGTCATAATTGCTGCTGGAGATTGCTTTTTAACCTCTATCCAGTGTTACTGCATTTTGTCTTATGCCAATAGCCTCCACCATGTCAACTGCCAGGATAGCTTTTCTAATATGCAAAGCTCATCCCCCTTTAGAATCTTCCAGTGGTTTTCTATTTTCTACAGAACAAACTTTTTGATTCTGGTAGAACACAGAAGATACTTAACTAGTTCATCGTGCATCCGTCCAGTCTCATGTTCCTTTATGTCATGCCCTTCTCCTGCTTGCACAACAAGGTCTCTTTGTCTGTACTGCTTCCTCTACTCTTGTAGCACTTCCCTTGGATTTTCCAATATCCTTTTGCCAACATTCAGGCGAAATTATATGTTCATATTTCTAAAATAACTACATTTATAACACATACTTCTATTTCAGCATTTGTTGGGTTTTTACCTGCTTGCTTCTGTTTCTCTATTTGACACTGAATTCTTCTAAGGCTAGGACCAGATTTTGTAATATCTCACATGCCAGTGTGTGAAACATTCAATACATGTGAGATAAATAAGGAATTAATTTTGGATATAATCTATATCTTCCTTTTTGGAACCAATATTTCATGTAAATGCTTCATAGCTAACACAAGGAACTGGAAGTGGTTCTCCTCAACCCAAGCTCTTCCATGATGTATCAGTGTAGCTGACAGGGCATGGGAAGGAAAAGTAGTGAATCACCATCGCCATCCTGTGCTGGATGGATTCGGGTTATAGGAGCCAAAACAGGGGATAAAAGGGAACACAACTTCTAGTACTAAACTCTTCACAGTTGTAACCCACATTTGCTATGTGGTACATATGGGGCATCATATCTAATTCATGCCACATTTTGGGGGGATGGTTTTGTTAGTGAGTTCATTTTGATTGCTTTTCAGATCATACTTTTTGCTACAAGTGGCACAAAACCACCAGCAGTTGCTATTTTCCATCAGGGCAATTTGGAGGGTTGTATTCCTTCCATGTTATTACTCTCAGTAGACAGGATTATAACGTTAGTGGTTCATCTCTTCGGCAAGCTACACCCACTCATTATCTAGACAAAACTTAGGCTTTCCACAGCATTACTTTACCTCTAATGAATCATTTTATAGACTCACACTGATATTTTTCCCATTGGAGGTTTCACATATGAATGGACTTTTGAACTACTTAATTGAAGTTAAAAACTGTCTTTGGGGCCCAGCATGGTGGCACAGTGGTTAAGGTCCTCGCCTCGCGTGCCCCCGGGATCCCATATGGGTGCCAGTTTTAATCCTGGTGGCCCTGCTTCCCATCCAGCTCCCTACTTGTGGCCTGGAAAAGCAGTGAAGGACAGCCCAATTCCTTGGGATCCTGCACCGGCATGGGAGACCTGGCAGAGCCCCTGGCTCCTGGCTTCAGACTGGCTCAGCTCCAACCACTGTGCTTACTTGGGGAGTGAACCATCAGATGGAAGATCTTCCTCTCTGTTTGTCCTCCTCTCTGTATATCTGCCTTTCCAATAAAAATAAATAAATCTTTAAAAAAGACCTGCTTTTGAACCATCAAGTCAGCTGCATATCCATTTGCTAAGAAAGAACCAAGAAGATCCAAATCGATTTGCTACTAACAGGTGGGGTGAGATTATACATAATAAAGATCTCCAAAAAGAAGAGAGTTGCTATAACTGCTAGAATAGAAAAAAGAGTTGAAGAACTTCATTTTCTTGGAGATTTTGTAAGTAGAAATAAATGCTAATTCACTGTAGGCATTATCAAACTTATATGCTCTATCTGGAGGC